AAAATAAATAAATAAATAATGAATAAATCTTAAAAAAAAAAAATTCCCTACAAATAGAAGTCCAGGACTGGACAGATTCACTGGGGAAATCTACCAAACATACAAAGAATAACTTATTCCTATCCTTTTCCAACTATTCCAAAAAACTGAAGAGAATAGAACACTCTCTAATTCATTCTATAGGGCCACCATCACCCTGATACCAAAACCAAACAAATACTAAAAAAAAAAAGAAAGAAAGAAAAGAAAATTACAGGCCAATATCTCTGATGAATATAGATGCAAAAATCCCCACGAAAATATTAGCAAATCAAATCCAACAATACATAAAAAGGATCATACACCATGATCAAGTTTGTTTTATTCCAGGGTCATGAGGATTGTTCAATATTCACAAACCAATCAATGTGATACACCACATTAACAAAAGAAAAAATAAAAATCACATCATAATCTCAACAGACACAGAAAAAGCATTTGGCAAAATTCAACATCCATTCATAATAAAAACTCTCATAAAAGTGGGTATAAGGAACATATCTCAACATAATAAAGGCCATTTACACCAAACACAGAGCCAATATAATACTCAACAGTGAAAAGCTGACAGACTTCCTGCTAAACTCAGGAGCAAGACAAGGATGTTCACTCTCACCACTTCTATTTAACATAGTATTGGAAGTCCTAACCTAACCACAGCAATAAGAAACTGGAAAGGAAGTGGTAAAACTGTCACTCTATGAAGATGACATGGTACTGTATGTAGACAACCCTAAAGTTTCCACACAGAAACTATCAGAACTAATAAAAGAAGTCAGCAAGGTAGCAGAATACAAGATTAATATACATAAATCTGTTGTATTTCTTTATATTAACACTGAAATGTCAGAAAGAGAAAATAAAAGAAAAATCCTGTTTAAAATTGCATCAAAAATATAAAATACCTAGGGATAAACTTAACCAAGGAGGTGAAAGACCTTACACTGAAAACTATAAAACTTTGATAAATGAAACTAAAAGTGATTTAAAAAAATATATATTCCATGCTCTTGGATTGGAAGAATTAATATTGTTAAAAACGGCCATACTACCCAAAGCAAACTACAGATTTAGTGCAATCTTTATCAAAATATCCATGACATTTTTCACAGAACTAGATCAATCCTAAAATTTATATGGAACCACAAAAGGCCCAGAATTGTCAAAGCAATTCTGAGGAAAAAGTACAAAGCTGGAGGTATAACCCTTACAGACTTCAGAAAAAGCTACAGTCATCAAAACAATGTGGTACTTGCACACACTAAAAAAGGCACATAGATCAATGGAACAGGACAGAGAGCCCAGAAATAAACCCACAACTTATGGTCAATTAATCTACAAGAAAGGAGGCAAGAATATACAATGGAGAAAAAATAGTCTCTTCAGCAAGGGGTGCTTGGAAAGCTGGACAGCTACATATAAATCAATGAAATTTGAACACTTCCTCACACCAGATACAAATATAAACTCAAAATGGTTTAAAGACTTAAATACAAGACTTGACACCATAAAACTCCCAGAACAGAACATAGGCAAAATATTCTCTGATATAAATCGTAGCAATATTATCTTAGATCAGTCTCCCAAGGCAAAAGAAATCCAAGCAGAAATAAACAAATGGCACTTAATCAAACTTAAAAGCTTTTACAGAGTAAAGGAAACCATCAACAAAATAAAAAGACAACCTACAAAATGGGAGAAAATGTTTGTAAATGATGCAACTGACAAGGGGTTAATATCCAATATATACAGGCAGCTCATATAACTCAATATCAAAAAAAAACCCCAATCAAAACATGGGCAAAAACCTAAATAGACATTTTTCCAAGGAAGACATACATATAGCTAACAGGCACATGAAAAGATGCTCAACATTGCTAATTATTAGAGAAATGCAAGTCAAAATCACAATGAGTTATCACCTCACACTGGTTAGAATGGTTATCATCAAAATGTCTACAAATAATATATGCTGGAGAGGATGCGGAGGAAAGGGAACCCTTGTATGTTGTTGGAAGGAATATAAATTGGTGCAGCCATTATGGAAAATAGTATGGAGGTTCTTCAAAAAACTAAAAATAGAGCTACCCATATGATCCAACAATCCCACTCCTGGGTATATATCCAGAAAAAAAATGAAAACTCTAATTTGAAAAGATACATGCGCTGCAATGTTCATAGCAGCACTATTTACAATAGCCAAGACATGGAAACAACCTAAATGTCCACCAACAGATGAATCGATAAAGAAGATGTGGTATATAAATACAATGGAATATTACTCATCCATAAAAAAGAATGAAATATTGTCATTTGAAGCAACATGGATGGACCTAGAGAATATTATACTTAGTGAAGTAAGTCAGACAGAGAAAGACAAATACTATATGATATCACTTATATGTGGAATCTAAAAATTAATCTATATACAAAACAGAAACAGACTTATAAATATAAAAAACAAATCTATGGTTACCAAAGGGGAGGGAGGTTGGGAGGGACAAATTACATGTATTGGATTAACAGATATAAACTACTATACATAAAATAGATAAGCAACAAGGATTTACTGTATCAAACAGTGAATTATATTCAGTATCTTGTAATAACCTATACTGGAATATAATATGAAAATAAAAATAACTGAATCACTACACTGTACACCTGAAACTAACAAAACATTGTACGTTAACTATACATCAATAAAAAAATACTTAAAGAGTATTGAAAGCAAAAATTGTAACATTGTATTTAGATGTAATACATATGATAACTGTTGCATGAAGGACAATGGGTGAAGATAAATAAATATATGTGGTAGTGAAATTTCTACATTTTATGTAAAGTGTTACAATTAACCCTAATAGAATATGGAAAGTTAAGGAAGTACAATATATTGTAATCCCTAGAGCAACAGATTAAAAAGAATATGTGAAGATAAATTGCCTACATGTAAATTCAAATGGAATCATAATAAAAACTTTCAAATAATCCAAAAGAAGGCAAAAAGGGGAGATAAAAGGAACAAAAAATGATAGGACCAACAACAACAAAAAATAAACTGGTATACCTAAATCCAGTCCCATCAGTAATTATATTTAATATTAATGGACTAAACACTCCAACTAAATTATGTAAGACTGAATAAAAAAGCAAGACCCAACTGTATGTTCTCTACAGGAGACATGATAGCTACCTAACAATAAAACCTTAAAATACATGAAACAAAAAAGTACAGAATTAAAGTGAAAAGTAGACAATTCTATAATCATTAAATTTTAATACCGCTTTCTCAGAAATTGATTCCTAGTCAAACACCAGTTAAATCACAGAATATCTGATAAACGATATCAGCCACATTTAGCTATTTGATTTTTAGAGTATAAAAACAAAAATAAATAGAAGTACAAGGAAAATATTCATAACACATATTTTAACTTACTTCTCTAAGAATTGAAAAATCAACCAATAATAAAAAACAGTGAAGATTTAAACAGTACAAGTAAAAATGAGAATTTCAAATTTGACTCAGATCATATATGTGTGTGTGTGTGTGTGTGTGTGTATATCTCACATCTATATAATGGATATTACTCAGCCATGTAAAAGAATGAAATTCTGCCATTTGCAACAACAGGGATGGCAGAATAGCATAGAGTACTATGCTAAGTTAAATAATTCAAAGAAAGACAAATACTCTATGTTATCACTTATACGTGGAACCAAAAAATAAAACAAAAACAAAGCAGAAACAGACTCATAGATATAGAGAACAAACTAGTGGTTACCAGAGTAGAGACGGAAGGGGGGAGGGGCAAATTAGGGGTATGAGATTAAGAGATACATATACATTTATTTATATGTATACAATAAATAAGCAATAAGGAATATTGTACAGCACAGGGAATTATAGCCATTATTTTGTAAAAACTTTAACTGGAGTGTAATCTATAAAAATATTGAAAAATATTGAAAAACTATGTTAACACCTGAAACTGATATAAATAATATATCAACTGTACTTCTATTTAAATAAATAAATAAATAAAGCATCTCTAAGTAAGTTTTTAAATGTAACGCAATCGCTAAGTAAACTGCTAAGGTAAATGTTGCAATAATTTAATCTTTTGTGGTGGAACATGCAACTGTGGTACAAAAAATGGCAAACCAACCCAAGCTGGAATAGTTCCATCTTTTGATTTCACCCACTATAAAAACATACCACTATTTTCTCAATGTGAAACTATAATAAACACTCAGAAACTATGAAATAGAATGTATTTCATTAACCTCTAGGTTTTGACCTCTTTATTCTTACAACCAACCAATGGTAAGAGATAAACACAAAACTCAGATCATCACCAATATTAGGGAAAATAATATGGCCTCTGAATAAAAAATATTCATACATTTGAAATTTTTATTCTGCCTAGTTAGACAGATCCAACATAAATCCTAAATATCTCCTTTCAATGAGGAATATAAGATAAATACAACCTACGATAAAAACCATGTAGTCATAATTTAGTGGAATCAAATGGCAGAAATGGAAATAAATGGGAGAATTTAGAAAACAACAGACTCTAAAGCAGTATAGAAATTAGGTCCAAGAGTCAGATCTATAAAGTGCCATTCTCTCACTAGCTCCTTACCCCTTAAAATTCGTCAAATATCCTATATTATCTCCTCTGCTTCAGGTACATCAACCATCAGTTATTCAATTTTTGGTATCAAAATTGAATAGGTATCACTTACAATGTAGGAAAGTTAATAGATAGGAGGAAGGGAAGTATAGAAACTTCGGGTCATAATGTAGGGATCTGAAGGAGGTATAAAGGGGTATTTAGAATCAGAAGCTATGTGCTATTACCTCTTTCTAGTGATAATGATACCAACTTTCCTACTTCAAGTAACGGCACTGAATGTCCAGAGTTGATTTCTTTTGAAAGCATACATCTTACCATGTGGAATTGTGGTCTGGAAAGGACGACTTGGGCTTTTCAGGTTCCATAAAGTCAAGCTACCATCTGAATGGCTGCACATGAATTGTTTGCCCTCATGATGCCAATCAATTGAATGAATAGCCTAATGAAATAACAATTAAAAACAAGTAGAGGAGGGGAAAAGTTGATATATCATTCTATATTCCAAAGGAAAAATATTTTAACACAGAATTATTATAGCAATAACACTTAGGAAACATATGTAATTTTTCTGACCTAGGTCATACTACCTTTGGTTTCAACCTTCTATAGGCTTATAGAAGGCTACAAAAACTCACCTCCTAAGATAAAGAAAAGTTAAGTAAATTTCATAGTATTGTTAGATCCCAGAACTTTTTGTTGTAAATTCTAGGTCCTCCCCGTACCCTTTAATGCTTCTTTGAAAATTATTACACAGAAGTAAAAGCAAGGTTATCAGAAAATAATCTCTGGTGAGGTAGAAGCCTAGTTCCACTTAAAATAGCCAACTTAAAAGGTAGTTTACATAAGAGTTGCAATTTGAGGGCTTACTACATGACAGACCCCAGGGTAAGCAGTTTATGTACATTATCTCATTTAATCCTACAAAACAGATATTATGTTTTTCCAAATTACACGTGGTGAAATAGGCCTAGAAAGATTGAGATACTTGCTCAGGTTACACCACTCAAAGCCAGTGTCTGACTACAAAACCCATATTTGGAATCATTGGACTATATTAACTCTAACATATACTATTTAATTTGACTTAAAGCAAGAAGAGTTTAAAATTTTTGTATTTACAGATTCATTCTGTAGATGTGAATTAAATAAAATTAAAAAGTGATCATTACATTTTCCTAATTTGTTTTATTCCCAGTGGTTGCACAGTGTCTTGCATAAAGTAGGTACTCAAAATATCTGTTAAATGAATAAGTAATTAATGTTATCAAATATTTCCACACTCTTGGTATTCTTTCAAAATTAATAAAGTATATATGGAACTTGGGTAATGTGCTAATAAGCAGAATGAAAGAAACTCTAGTAGGCATAAAAGTTGAACAGATGTATATACAGACAGCATGATCCTTTCCTTAAAAGAACTTAAACAACTGCGAGGTAGGAAACATTTATACCAATATTAATACTACTTATTGTTTGGAACTTTTAACGTTTAGTTTTTTAATCTATATTTATAAAACTAAGTTATGTATATATTTATTTTATACCAAACTTATACATATATACACACACACACACACATATTTCCAAACAATAAGTATTGTTAGAGTTATAAATAAATGATGACTAGAGCAGTCATTAGACATATCAGAAATGAAATAGTATATGAGTGGACCTCAAGATAAGTAAGATTTGGTTAATTGCAAAAGATACCATGACACACTGGACTTATGTTTTCTCTCACCCTGGTCTTTATTACTGGGCAGAGAAGACTTCTTTATTGCCAGGGTTCAGCAGAGGCAGTGAGAGGGAAAAAACGCTCTTCTTTGTCTTCTCCTCTGCGTATTTCTTCTCTTTTATGTGACTAAAGGGAAATGTCACTTCTTGCCTCCTCTACATGTTAACCTGGATGAACCTTAGTCAATTTAAAGTTCTCTCAGACTACTTTGCTATAAATGGTAGGCACAGAGCCCCAGCCCTAACCTTTCTTTCTATCCCACTGCATTTCTGTCTACTGGAAAAGACAGATATAAAAATGATATATATAACATAAAACCAAGATAAGTACTATAAAAGAAGTACATTTATTGTACAGAAGAGTAGGCATGTAAAACCAACTTGTTATTAAAGAATAGGATGTCAAATAGCCCATCATTGAAGAGATTGAACACCTGGAATTTGAACTGACTTAATGGGTAAAAATTCAATTTCTATTTATTTGATTATACCCCACTCTTTTCTTTAAAAAGGACCTTAAGCATTTGCTGAAAAACCAAATATAATACAACTAATTAAAGAAAACAAATTTTAATGAAGAACAATATGGAAAATAAACTCAGTGGCTGTGACTGAATTTCTTGTAAACGAAAAAGACAAAGGAAACCCAAAAAGCTAGGTAACAATCTGAAAAAAGGAAAAACAGCAGTTAGTAAGGAATTAAAAAGTTATCCTCATGTCAGACTCTGAGAGATTTCTCTCTCAGAGATTATTTAAGAAATATTGATGTAATGAAACAAAAATTTCACAGCTAATGTGGAAGTAAAATTCATATGGTTATTTCTGAAAATGATCTTGGATTTCCAAAACAAAACTCTGAATTCATCAGTGGTTATTTATCAAGTGGCTAGTTAGATAGTCCAAATAGCTTTACAGTAGCTAAATAATAGAATTTTGATATGCATAAGAGGAAAGAAGGGAGTTCATGATAAGGTATTAGCAGAAGCAAAGGCCTGGAGGTAGGAAGTAAATGGTATGTTTAGGAGACAGTGAGTAACATGTCTGAAGTGTAGAAGTGTGTAGAAGGATGCAGTAAATTAAATTCAAGGGAAAAAGCACCAGGGCCTTAAACCTCCTGTCAAGGAATAAGACTTTGTACTGTTGACAACTGGAAGCCATTCAAAGGTTTTGAGGTAGAGAATTACCTGATCTGCTATGTCTTAAAATGATAATCTTGTTAGTGAAAGATACATTGAAAAGGTAAGATATCTGAGGAAACATGATTAGTTAAAAGGCTACTGTAAGTCTTCCAGGCAAAAGATAACATCCTCAACTAGGATGCTGAATGTGGGAATGAAAAAGGAGAAGAAATAAATCAGAGACAATATAAAAATTGGATCAAGAAGACCACAAAAGTGATTGCATATGATATATGAAGAACAAAAAAGGGTCAAATATGACTCTGAGGGTTATAAATTAAAATAACTAAATCAAAATTGAAAAACTGAAAAAGAGGTTCAGACCTGTAAATATAAATTCAGTGCCAATGGAATATTCATCTGGACTTATAGATTATTAGATATTTGGATCTAGATCTCAGGAGAGAGGTAAGAGTTAAAGATATATGAATTTTTAATTTATCAGCATAATATAGGTAATATTTGAAATGGTGGGAGGGGATATGAACATAAATGTAAACTGAAGGAGAAATGAAGAGAGGGTGAAGACGTAGAATCCTGAAGAGTATCTATAATGTAAAGGAGAGTTAAGGAAAGAACCAGTGATGGAGAAAGGAGGGGTGAAAAATGAGGTGGAAAAACACAAACAAGGGAAGAAACCATTTTAAGAAGGAAGGACTGATGTAAAGTCACAGGTTTAGTGAGGAACTTAAAAGACTAAGGAAGGGGTCACTGATCATTGGTGACTTATGAGAAACCATTTCAGGACAGATGATTTCAAAATATGAGACGTAAAGTGATGAGGAAAGTTTGAAAAGTTTGGTAATAACATGAAGTATACAACTATCTTTATTAAAATGATAGGATATATAATTATGCATTAAAGTAAATCAATTTTATATATATTCATATAATTCTAAGTATAAAGTGTAGTATTCTACTGACTTAAACATTGTTAATCTTTATTTAAACATTTCATTGCAAAATTACTTTCACTTACTTTTTAAAGTTAGAAATCTTCCTTCCACACTTTTTAAGGCCACAGGAAAACTAGCTGATTGAGCATTCTCATCTGGATTTCCATTTCAGCTGCTCCACTCTAGTTCCAACTGGCTAAATACACAGATGGTATTTGGACTCTTATCTAACTGCTAGTCTTTTTTTTTTTTTTTTTTTTTGCAGTACGCGGGCCTCTCACTGTTGTGGCCTCTCCCGTTGTGGAGCACAGGCTCTGGACACACAAGCTCAGTGGCCATGGCTCACGGGCCTAGCCGCTCTGCAGCATGTGGGATCTTCCCGGACCCGGGCATCCAGTTAGGAAGCCCTAACTGCTAGTCTTAAGAGAGGAAGTGATCTTCATACTCATCTTTGTATTTTATGTATTTAACAAAAGGAAAACCCTAGCTTAGCTCTCTAGGACCTTCTTGCCTTATGATTCAAGGTGCCTCGTAAGTTGATCATAAAGAGCATAATTGTATGACATTGCTTGCCAGAGTACTGTTCACTAATCATGACCAAATTACCCAGCTGTTATATCATTTACTTCTGAATTCTTTATCACCATGACAATAATCTTGTATATATCATAAAATCTTAGTTTTCCAGAACCACTAAGAAATGAATGGGGGTTGGGGGTTATGCGATAGCCGAAGGCTTGTACCTTTAAGCACCAAAATTTAAATTTTACTTTTATAAGGGGATGGAAGAGGGCATAAAAAGAAACTGTTCTAAAAAAATGTGTTTTCCTTTCAAATTTATTTCTCTATTTATCTTAGTGTTGTCTTAAATTCTTTGGCACTCTTCCCATTTAAGCCTGGGTAATTCTAAACACTGATTTTTGACCTGTATTTTCCTATCTCTCATCACTGTAACAATTTTTAGTTTAATTGAGAGCCTAGATGATCCCCTTTATTTCCACAGCTACAAGATATAATTTCCCTTTCTCACCTTTTGCCCCTAGCCTCACTCTTTTCACATTAGCTTCTTCTTAAGAAGGAAATAATAGCCTAGAATCAATCTTCGAACAACCGAAGTATCAATTAACAGACTATCCTTGATAAGAGTTCATTGTTTTCTCTACATGAAAACCTAAAATCTCAATTCTGTACGATAAAATGTACTTCAAGATCTGACTTTTATTATTAAGTATTACTATTTTAAAAATCTCTCTTTACTGTAAGAAGGCAAGTATTAGAAGATAAGGCCTTTCAAACTGACTACTTAAACTTTCTGCCACAGAAAAACAATTTTCTAAAGATGTGAATAGTATCTTTAGAGACCTTAAGGACAAAAAGGTTAAGAAATAAGCATAGGGCTTCCCTGGTGGCGCAGTGGTTGAGAGTCCGCCTGCCGATGCAGGGGACACGGGTTCGTGCCCCAGTCCGGGAGGATCCCACATGCCGCGGAGTGGCTGGGCCCATGAGCCGTGGCCGCTGAGCCTGCGCGTCTGGAGCCTGTGCTCCGCAACGGGAGAGGCCACAACAGTGAGAGGACCGTGTACCACAAAAAAAAAAGAAAGAAACAAACATAGAGCCTAAAGGAAAGAAAAAGATAGGTAATAGACACCAACATATGTAAATGCCCAAAAAAGGCTTAAAAATAATCCGTCAAGGCAAAATTTCCACTCAGGAGAACAACCCAGAGGTGGAACTCGTGCAAATACCAACAGGCAGTGTGAGGCACTGGATCAGAACTAGGCAGTTTTCCAATGATAAAAATACTGGTAACATACAAGGCTTAAATGTAGAAAACAGGCATAAAATCACAATACTCTTTTCAAATATTCCAGTAGAAATCACTTACCTCATCATAATAAACTCTCAGTTCTGCTCTTTTAGATTTCAAGTCCCAGAATACTACAGTACCATTTTCATAACCTATTAGCAGCTGGAAAACATTAGAACAATCATTTTTGTAATTCTAACATTAATTTTACCTTGCTCCAAATAAAGATTAATGTTAATACAATAAAGTATAATCATACTACATTATACAACTTTATTTAGAATACCAATTTTTCCAAACCTGAATACAGGTTTTCTACATTGAAAAAAATTGAAAAATGAACTCTACTTCAATATAAACATTTACCAATGAAATCTACCTCATTCCAAAGAGTATACTGAGAAAATACGTAAGTATATATGAAACAACATAAAAATAAATGAGAACATTGGAACAAAAGAAAAATGGGATTGAAAATGAAGATGAAATAAAGGATGAAATGTGATAACTTTAACAAACAGTGTATATGCCATTCAGTTTTTTGCACTTGAAAAATGTGGCCACAAATTTGGCTTCAAATTTCTTTCTATCAAATCCAATTTTCTGACTTACGTCAGTATTTTAAATTGGTGATCTATGAACTCTCTGCAGTTCAAAAAGGTATTCTAGAGATTCACATCATTAAATATAGTTGATACTGATTTATAAATCAATAAATAAGACAATTAACAAAATATACATTCTTCATTTCAAAAGAAAAGGATTTGAGAACAGAAAATGATTATTAGATGATCATATTCAACACTCAGTCATTCAGCTAAATACTGCTAGCTGTGCTGATGGTTTTTACTATGATTCTGAGTTTTATTTGTAGTTATATTTTGTTAAATTTAATCTACCATTAGTTAAAAAAAACCCAGAAAGGATAAAAATAGGCCAACGTTCAAATAATATTTCACAGGAATGTGCCTTAAGATGATTTTCTTGAAATCCATTAGTATTTCTCTGGTGAAAATTCTTATACTGTTAATAAAGATGTTTCAGTAACTCCAAAACACAGTGGTAAAAACAGAAAATATAATGGTAGTTATAAGTTACTCCTACATAGCTTCTTGAGACCTAATCATTTCCCTAGAAATTTTATAACAGAACACAAAAAAACAACAAAAATAAGCCAGCTAGTAGTTTTAACAGGAAACAAAATTTCAAATATCAGATCATGAAAGCAATGCATATTACTTTTGAAGGCATAGCATATACTTAAATGTTTTATTATTAAACTGCAAACAATAAATTCTAAAATTGATTTAAAAAATTGAGCTTTCTACATATTAAGTTAAAGTAAATGGCATAATGACTTCATAAATTTAAAAAGTCAAAATTAGTGTAAACAAAGACTTTCTTAAAATAAAATTTATATAAAGTAATATATACTGTACTAAGATATGTATTAACTTCAACTTTTTTTTATATACCAGAGAAAATGATAAACAATAAAACCAAATCCTATGAGGTGTATGATAAAAGTTTCTATGAAATGTATGAAAAGAAGATTTATAAGTCTAAAAAGTTTGGAAAATCTGACCTAAGCAAGAAAATGAATAATATAACCTTTCAGAAATTGAGCCTCAAGATGTAATGGAATGATATTCTAAAATGCTATTATATTTTTTATAATAAACATAAGATAGAAGTCATTTTGTTTATAAAACATTATAAGCAATAGCCCCAGTAAATCACAAAATATAAAATAATAAACCTCAAAGTATCAAAAAATTGAGATAACTATACAAGATTGTGATATAGGAAATATGAAAATATATTAGAAATACTTAAAGAATTGAGAATGAGAAAAACAGCCCCTGACATCCAGGAGACACCAGACAAAGTCATTCTGTGACCATGATGAATCAAGACAAAAATAAGATCCCTCTGTAATTATGCCTGATCACATCAAAACAGGAATATTGCCCACATCACAAATACATATCATATATGTACGTGTGTGTGTACATATATGTGTGTGTGTGTGTGTGTGTGTGTGTGTGTGTGTGTATATATATATATATATAGGCAAAGAAGTAGGTGATTTCTTCACTACATATTATCAGGACCTGGAAAAGTTTCTGAAGAAAATAGGTATCTGCAAAAATATCTGTTAAATTAGTTAGTAAATACCAAATAATCAAAATCAAAGATACTATATATTCTCTAACAAACATGAAATAAAATTAGAACTCACTGACAAAAATATTTTGGAAACTAAAAAATATGCATTTAAGTAATTATGGCCAAACAAGAAATCATAATGAAAAGTATGAAACAGAAAAGAACAAAAATGCCTCATATTGAACCTTGTGGGATACAGATGATCCTCATCAAGAGGGAAATATATGGTTTTATAAATACAGGCATACCTTGAAGATATTGTGGGTTCAGTTCCAGACCACCTCAACAGAATGTAATATCAAAATAAAGTGAGTTATACAAGTTTTTTTTGGTTTCTCAGTGCATGTAGACTTCTATACTGTAATCTATTAAGTGTACAATAGCATTATGTCTAAAAAAGCAATGCACATAACTTAATTAAAAGTACTTTATAGCTAAAAAATGCTAACCATAATCTGAGCCTTCAGTGACTCATATTTTTTCAAGAGTAATATCAAAGATCACTGGGCAGAGATGGGATCAAGATGGAAGAATAGGAAGACCCTGAGCTCACCTCCTCCTGTGCACACACCAAAACTACAACATATATATAAAATAACTCTCTCTCAGAACAACCTGAAGACTGGCTGTACAGCTTTTTTACAATTAAGGATATATATTTTTTTAATCACACAGAGACAGGTACAAGGGTGAAAGAAGTGATCTAGTCAGGACCCACACCCCCAGCAGGTCACCCAAAAGACAAAGGGGATATTACAAACTCAGAGGCCCCAGCCAATGCTCACTTCAGCTCCAGCCCTCCCACCAAAGCCACCAAGCACACACAGTCTGCAAAGGGACACTCCTACACAATGACACACTTTCCACACCAGGTGAGACAAATGTTTTGCCTAATTAATAAAGACAAACACTGAAAGTGAAACAAATTAAGAAGGCAGAGGAATATGTTCCAAATGAAATAACAAGATAAAACTCCTAATGAAATGAAGATAAGTAATTTACATGATAAAGATTTCAAAGCAATGTCATAAAAATGCTTACCAAACTCAGAAGAATAGAGGATCACAGTGAGAACTTCAATAAAAAATTAGAAAATATTAAAAAAGAACCAATCAGAGCTGAAGAATACAATAACTGAAATGAAAAATATACCAGAGAGAATAAAAAGCAGATTAAGTGGTAAAGAAGAATTAATAAATGAGTTGGAAAACAGAATAGTGGAAATTACCCAATCAGAACAGTAAAAAGAAAAAGTTTTTAAAATGAGGATAGTTTAAGAGACCTCTGAGACAACACTGAGTGTCACAATATTCATGTTATAGGATTTAGTCCCAGGAGGAGAAAAGAGAGGAAAAGGGGCAGAAAATATATTTGATGAAATAAGGGCTGACAAATTCTCTACCCTGGGAATGAAATAGATATCCAGGTCCAGGAATCAGAGACAGTCCTAAAAAGATGAACCCAAAGAATCAACACCAAGACACATCATAAGAAAAACAGCCAGAGTTAAAGAGAGAGAATTCTAAAGGTAACAAGAGAAAAACAAAGAATCAAACAAAAGGGAACCCCCATAAGGCTCTCATTGATTTTTCAGCAGAAACTGTAGGCCAGAAGACAGTGGCATGATATATTTAAAGTGCTGAAAGGGAAAAACCTAAACCAAGAATACTCTACACAACAAGGTTAGGCATTCAGAATTGAAGGCGATATAAAGGTTCCCAAGACGAGCAAAAAGTAAAAGAGTTTATCGCCGCTAAGCAGGCCACACAAGAAATGTTAAAGGATCTTCTTTACGCAAAAAAGAAAAGGCCATAACAAGAAATGAGAAAATACATGAAGAAAATAAATCTCATTGGTAGAAGCAAATATAATAGTAAAGGCAGTGAATCAACTGCTTAAAAAGTTGATATGGAGGTTAGATGACAAAAGTTGTAAAATCAATTCTAATTACAATGAGTAATTAAAGGATAAACAAAAAGATGTAAAATATAATGTCAAAAACATAAAACATGGTGATGGGATTATAAAAACTGTAGAACTTTAAGAATGTGTTTGAATTTAAATGACTATCAGTTTAAAACAAATATCTATCTACCTACCTACCTATTTATTGCATAGTAACCAAAAACCAAAAACCTAGACTAGATACACAAATACAAAGAGAAAGAAACCCAAACATAATACTAAAAAAAATCATCAAACCATAGGGAAGAGACTAAAAGAAGAAGAAAAGAATAGAGAAGAACTACAAAAACAACCAGAAAACATATAACAAAATGGCAAAAAGGACATGCCTATCAATAATCATTTTAAGTGTAAATGAACGAAATGCCCCAATCAAAAGACACAGTGTGGCTGAATGGATAAAAAAAAACAAGACATCTATATGCTGCCTATAAGAGACTCAATTCTGAGCTAAAGACACACATAGACTGAAAGTGAAAGGATGGGAAAAGATATTCCATGGAAATGGAAATGAAAAGAAAGCAGGGGTAATATAACTCATATCAGACAAAATAGACTTTAAAACAAAGATTGTAACAAAAGGCAAAGAAGGGCATTACATAATGTTAAGAGGGGGGTCAATCCAAAAAGAGGAACTAATATTCATAACATATATGCACCTAACATAGGAGCAACTAAATATATAAACCAAATATTAACAGACATAAAAGGAGAAATTGACAGTAACACAGTATTAGTAGGGGATTTAATATCAATGAATAAATCATCCAGACAGAAAATCTATAAGAAAACGTTGGCCTTCAATGATACTTTGAGCAGTTGGACTTAATAGATATCTACAGAGTATTCCATCCAAAAACTATAGAATACACATCTTCTTCAAGTACACATGGAACATTCTCCAGGATAGATCACATGGTAGGCCACAAAACTAATCTCAGTAATTTAAAGAGTAAAATCATATAAAGTATCTTTTCTGACCACAGTGGTATGAAACTAGATATCAATTACAGAATGAGAGGTGGAAA